TCTGACCACTGGAATCCTGAGTTTCATTGCTTCGTCAATTCTTAACACCAGCCTTTGGAGAAGTCAGTCTCTGCTGGACACCACCTGGGCCGTTTAGGGCACTGCGGCTTTGGGTCATGCAGTACCCATCCCCTTCCCCCTGAACGCTGACAGCTCAGTCCCACTGCACTCCCTGTGCATCTGATGTAGTTCCCGGGTCACAGCTGTGTCAGCTGAGAGTCCTCGGGTTACAACTGACAGAAACGGAGTCTGGCAAAGGAAGCGCAGAAGACGGTCCATTGGAAGGTGCCTGGGGCAGATCAGAGACCGGGAGGAAGCAGAAGACCTTCCCCTTCTGGGAGCAAAGTATGCAGGCAGGTCTGTCACCAGGAGTTTCTGTTGTGCCCCCTGAGGCCCTGCCAGCACTTGGCTTAGGTCCATCCTTGGCAATTCCCAGGAGGCAGAATGGCCTGGTTGGGCGACTGTATCCTTGGACCAAATTGTCAGGCCAAGCAGTGAGGGAGAAAATGAATAATAGGGACGCAGACCTTGGGGGAAAGTTTCAGTTGAAGAGGCACCAGATTTGGGGCTGCCTGTGTACACACGTGCACTGAGTAGACACACAAGAAGACTCTCCTTACTGGTCCTGGTTCCAACCGTCCCTTATACAACGGTGAGTCCAACAGCCCACTTCCGCAGTTGGAGGGAAATACAGATAGTCTCCACCCACTGCATCCTGAAGCTCTGTGCTGGAGCGGAGGGCCTCAGCGCGGTGCCTGAACTCGTCCTGCTCCACTGGGCTGCTTTCTCAGTCTTGACAGCCCTATGTCTCTATCTGCACGTGTATCTAGGAACCTCTGAGGTACAGGTGGGGCCACGACCACCAGTCACCATGGCTCCCATGGATACTAGCGTTTCCCTGCTGATTCCACTCAGTGTTCCTCTGAGCGATGGGAACATTCACACCTGTGCAGCCGGGCTGGGCCCTCACCGTGTTAGGCACTGTCACTGGGTTCCCACAGTCGGTCCTCACAGCACCTCTGCGAGTTGAGTGCTGTCACCCTCTGAGAACACGAGGACGTGGCCCCAGGGCCCAGGAACGTGGCCGAGGCCGCCAGCCTGGGAAGGGCCATCCTTGGGTGGGGTCTCTAGTGCCCTGTGCTCCGGGGGAGGAGGCCATCCTCGAGCCCCAAGCAGCTCCCGTCGGAGTCAGGGCCCCCCCTGCTGCAGGACGGCGGGCCAGGTCCCGGCACATGTGTCTCCTGAGCCCCTCTGTCTCTGTGTTCAGGGATGCCCATTGCAAACTGGGCTCTGAGCACCCGGAGATGGAATGTGAGTTGGTGGAGTTTGTACAAATGGACTTTTGCCAGATGTCACCTGCTGCTGCTCTCCTGCCAGACAGAAGCACCTGAGTGGCTGGCAGAGAGCCCCTGCCTCTCCCCTCCCCAGCCCCCGGCTTCCTTATGTGCAAAATCCAATCAGATTCCTGGCTGGGTTCTGGACTGATTTAAGACCAAACTGTAGTGTGTGGTCCTAGTGGACTCATACCCATGACTCTTCTGTCCCTCCCTCAAGTGCTGGGGCG